TCCTCATGGATGTTAAAAGCTAAAATAGTAGCCATGCTGAATGAGATATGGAGGGCAGCCTGTAAGTAAACTTATCTGCCCAGATTTCTCCTTCAAATAGTATGAAAAGTTACTGAGGAAGAGGTGAAGCTTTTCTAAGCACTGATGGAGAATTGGGAATTAAGAGCAGGGACGAGATGGAGGGACAGGACATTGTTAGTGCAGAGACAGACTCTGGAAAACATTTCTGCCGCAGATTCAGAAACACATAAGTGTTTTTTCCTTCTCTCCAGGGGAAGGGTTGGATAAATTAAAATTAAATGTATCATTTGTCTTATAAACTTTGAACTTATAATATTCCTGAGAGAAAAATACTTGGTGGGCGTCATTAAATATTAATCATTAGAGATCAGTTTAGCAAAGACATTTTAGTCAGGTTGGAACAGCTTTTAAGAAACCAATTACAATGTGGGTTATGAAAGAGAAGTGGAAGAAACCCAGGGAAAATATTAGAAAATGCAAGTCCCTTCACCCAGTGGAATTTTTGCAGGGAATTCTGGCTAACTAGCTTGTTGAGGCTTAAGACAGCAATAAAAATAGGCCTGTGTGCTAAGGCTATAAGAATTGGTAAAAAAGCAAAAGCTAGGATTACTAGAATTGCAAATAATCTTTCTTTTTAACAAATGCTTTTTAATATTTAAGTATTTGATTAAAAGATAGTAGAAATTGTTTTTTTTTTAAAGTTCATCTTATGGTCACCTTGCAAAATGTACTTATATAGAAATTGCACAAATTAAATATCAATATATAACTGGAGGACATGAAGGTATTGTTTATTCATCTTCTAGTATGTTGATCATTCAAAGGATTGTGAAATATCTTTCTTTTAGGGTGTTCCTTTAGAGTTCATTTTATTAGTTACATTTCAGGGTAATACGGGGAATTATTACAGTCTTTTGAAGACTTATAAAATGTTGGAACTTAAAGACACATCAGAGTTAAGCCTCCTCATTTTTTGTATGTGAAGAAAAAGAAATGTGAGTGGTTGAATAAGTCAACAGTTTTAAAGGGAAGAGATAACACTCCTAAATTTTATGCACCTATTAACAGTGTGTCAAAATATGTGAAGCACAAACTGGGAGAACAGTAAGGAAAAAATAAACAAATCCATGATTATAGTTGGGATTTCAACATTCCCCTTTCACTAATTGATAAAACAGTAAGCAGAAAATCAGTAAAGATATAGAAGAATTAACACTGCCAGCCAACTAGACATGACGTTTATAGAATACTCCACCCAACAACAGTTGATTATACACATCAAACATTCTCCAAAATAGACTACATTCTGGGCGATAAAACAAATCTCAATAAATTTAAGATGATTGAAATTATACAAAATATGTTGTCTAACCACAATGGAATGAAACTAGAAATCAATAACAGAAAAATATCTGGAAAATTCTCAAATATTTAGAAACTAAATAACATACTCTTAAATATCCCAGGGGTGGGTCAAGGCAGAACTCAAAAGGAAAATCAGAAAATACTTTAACTCTATGCAAATAAAAGTGCAATTTGACAAAATTTGTTCAATTCAGATAAACAGTGCTCAGAGGGAAATTTGTAACATTAAGTGTGTATATTACAAAAGAAGAAAAGCCTCCAATAGATAGTCCAGGTTTCCAACTTAAGAAACTAGCAGATGAAGAGTAAATCAAACATAAATTAAGAAAAAGTAAGGAAATAATAAAGAGCGGAGATCAGTGAAGTAGAAAGCAGAAGAACAGGGAAATACATGAAACCAAAACCAGGATTTATGAAAAGATCAATAAAATGTAAAAGTTTCTTCTGATTGATTAGGAAAAGGAGAAGATACAAATTACCAGTATTAGAGATGAAAGGGGGATATTACTAGAACTTCTATAGAAATTTAAAGGATAATTAGGAAATATTATGAACAATTCTGCCAGTAAATTTGATAACTTAGATGAAACGAATGTAAATAAACAGCCTTAAAATGTGTCACCCAATAATTCTAGGAATCTGTTAATAAATTTAAAATATGGACAAAGCTTTATGCACCAATAATGTTTATCAAATGATTATTTATAATAGAAAAAAACTGAAATCAACCTTAAATTTCCAACAATAGGCGATTAGTAACATAAACTATGGTTACCCATACTGATGATAATGATAGAGAAAATTCCCATATATAATGTTACATGAAAAAACTAGAAAACAAAATTGTCAACAAATGGTGATCTCAATATAAAAAGATATTACAAATGAGCAATGGAAAAAAGTTTACCCTTAAATTAGGTTAATAAGTTTATTTTTAATTTGTTGGATTATTTGTTTCCTCCTTAATTTTTTATGTATTTTCCAAATTGCTAAGAATGAAATATGTCAGTGCTATATTTTAACCATTGTGTGCCAAGAAGCTTGTTTTATAATTAAAAATATAAATGATTAGTTTTCTGTGAACAGAAAAGATATAGCTTATGCTTTAATGCCAGTTGATTTTGATTTAGAAATTGAAAACCATGCCTTTTGGTAAGAATGAATACGATCTGAATATCTTTGTGTACTTGATCATTCCTCTGATGGCACATTTTGAGGCTGTATTCGTACCATCTGTTTCATTCAGCAAGATGCCCAAACCTACAGCTCTACTTCTGTCCTCTCACTGTCTTTCTCAGTTCAGGTGTCAGTGGGCAAAAATGTAAGTGTGTTTGCTGGCCCTTAATTTTTCCTTTCTCTTATTGGCTCATAATCATCAAAGCATCTTTTAGCGGGAAACCATTTCTTATGCTTTCTTCTGTCGTGCTTTATATAAAAACCATGATTAAATGAAGATTTCCAGCATTGGGTGAGAACATAATGTCTTTTCCATTTGTACATCTTGCAACTCCCCCCAAGCCTGTAGGATTTCCCATCTAAACTATCATAGCCAGTTCCGTGGCCCTGCCTCTGACTGCCCCACATCAGCTCATGCTCAAGTAGCTGTTGAAATACACTTGGGACACAATATAAATCCTTTTCCTTTCCAAAAATCCTATGGTGAATGACTTCCAGTTTCTTATGAAACCCCTCCCCATAATTAACGAAAACTATAAATCACTTCTTAAAACCCTCAGGGCCTTCACCTTAAACAGACGAACTCCCTTTTGGTACTGAAGTCTAACGCTCTTGAACCATCGAAGAATTATGTCCATGCTTTTAGCTCAGAGTAAGTGGGCCTTTTACAAGTGTATATAACATGTTCTTTTTGGCCTTTCTTTTGCATTTGCATAATATATATGTGACAAAAATAAAATATAAACTTGGAACTTAGTACAGAGACTAACAACAAATTCATCGAATCATCATGTTACATGAAGTCCTACTGCATGTGGGAGCCATGTTTTGAAGAAACTGTTTGGGCTCCCGAACCCCCAGTTGTGCCTTCTAGAATCTTTGGCAACATTCTTGATCTCTTCCTCTCCCTTGACCCCACAGTTATCCTCAATTATAGTCTTTTAGCTGGTATTTCCACTTAACACTTGTGCTGCTCCAGTCTGTTCTCCACAGAGACCAGAGTAATCTTTGAGAAATATAAATCATACCATCATTTCTCTCCTTAAGATCCTTGATTGCCTCCTGATGTACTTAAGAACAAAAAAATCCGAAATCTAAACCCCACCTGTGATTCTCATTGTAGCCACTTCCGCCAGGCTCAGTGTTCCTAAGCCATGGGGCCTTCCTTCAGTTCTTCAAACACACCAAACTCTTTCTTACCTCAGCACCTTTGCAAGAGTCCGGAACATCATTCCTTGACCACTCTCTCCTGCTCCCCCTTATCTCCAACTTTCCCACCCTCTACTCATAAGTTTTTGCCTGGCTAATTCATTGATTTTTACTCAGCATTCAAATATTGCTTTAAATGGCACCTCCCAGAGGGGCCTTCTCTGGACCACAGATCTAAATTTAGTTCTTCCTATTATTTCCTGGTCTTCTTATAGCACTCACCATAGTCTTTCATTACATTATGATTTGTGTACTTTGCTTAATGCCTTTCTCTTCCTGCACACCTGAAGATTTCATGACCATATACCTCAATGTTTTTTTTCCTTTAACCAGCACATAGTAGGTGCCCCAAAAGTATTGTTGAATGAATGAGTGAAAGGATAAACGAATTGTGTAAATAATGAGAAAACAGTCAAGAGAAAAAGAATTGTAACTTCACTCTCTTAGAAAAGTATATTAAAGCATCTATTTTTAATCTAATTAGTAAAGTTGTTTGAAGTTATAATTTCCATTTTCAGCCAACATTAGGGGGAAAGAACACATCCACATAGTCCATGAGGAGAGGGACCTTTTCTGTGTTCATTTTTGTTTATGTAGTAAATATGCATTGCAAGAATAAGAGGGTTAGTATAATCATTACGAAAAGCAATTTGGCTAAAAGTATTTAAAAACATCACATTATTTTTATTAACCCAGATTTCCACCTAAGAAGTTGTCATAAGGAATAGTCCTAAATGTGGAAAAGGTTATATATTTTAAGATATTTCTCACAGTGTTATTTATAGGAGTAAAACATTAGAAACCACCAAAATGCTCAGTAAAGCATGCTATGCTAGCTAAGTATAGTGTATTCACTAGATAGTATATGAGTAACACATGAGCTAAGGGTTAGGATAATAAAATGACTTCAACAATGTTTGTAGTATTAATGTAAATAAATGAAAAACACAAGGTTTTATAACATTTACAAATCCTACCCACAGGTAAAAAAGACTGGAAAGAAATATGTCATGCTATTATAGCTATGGGTGACTTCCTTCTCTTTCTTGTTTCGTATTTTTTTTAACATGCACAGATTTTACTTTTTAATAAAGGGTTGTAATTATATGAAATTATGGTATAACATAACTTGTATGTCGAGGTTCAGTTTCACCTTCAGTGCATTTAAGTGAATTCCAATTCTTACCTTTTGTTATCAGTGAACTGAAATGCTGTGCTGTCTTTTTTAGGGTGATAAAACCTTTGCCGAAAGTTCCCATGCTCACGGGTTAGATCACTCATCCTCTTGGCAGGATCACAGTCGCTTCCTGTCTAGTCCGCGATTTTCACACTATAACTGTAAGTAATGAAGTTCTGTACCAGTTTTAAAACTGGATTTGAGAAAATGCAACTCATGGAAAGAGTCAAATGTAAGGCCAGTACATGATAATATTCATGTTATGAGTCTGGAAAATTTTTCATTATGAATCATACAAATAATGCCACCCAAATACATTTACAATATCACCCAATTGACTAAAAATATATATGGGATTCCTCCTTTATAGGCCTTAGCCTTATCGTAAAAACTTAAAATGAATCACCCAAAGTAAGAATCGTAACTAAGCAAATTTTTATGTGTGTGGAGCTCACTGGTAATTGTGGATGTTTGGGTAAAGGACATTAGATGGTATTATAATACAACTCAAATAATCAAAAAGTAGAAAATTTTTGCATTGAACTATTCAGAAATATATAATCTTGTGCAAAGAATAAGGATATTAATATGACTACAGGCTAGCTTTCATCCTGTGAATACACTAAATATTGATAAAACATCATTCACATCAACAAGGTGTAGCCTGTTGATCCAGGACACTATCTACTTCCATCTACCCCTTCCCTACTATACATAATTCTTCAAGTTTCAGCTTGTATGTTATGTCCTTAAAGAAGTCTTCCAAACTTGCAGTTTTAAGTATGGCTTCTGTTATGAGTGCCTACAATGTGTTACAATTTTTCTTTAAAACACTTCTCAGAATAATTCTGGAGTCATTTGTTGTTTGAGTGACTTTTTTTCACTAATTCTTTTCATCAAAGAGTGACCTCCATGATGATAGGAGCGGTGTCTGTTTTATTCACCACTGTCTCCTCAGCATCCTACATACTCTTTGGCACGTAGTGAATACTCAGTTAATATTAGATAAATGAGTCATATAAGTTGTTTCTTTTAAGTCCACTTTATCCAAGCCTTTGGGACTCAAACATTATTTAATGAATTCTTATTCAGATAACCATTTAGGACTTTGGTTTACCATGGGCATAGAGTTTGTACATTAAATCTCATATTTTTAAAAAAAATCTTGGTTGCTGTAAAATAAAGTACCAAATAAATCGCAAGGAAGTAGGTCAAATCCAAAAGTGATAACTCTCATTTTCACTGAGTTATCTTTATGGATTCATTGGATAAATATTTATCAGTTTCTGATAATATTTTGGTTTTCATTATATCATGATTACTTTATTCCAAAAGTTAAACATTTTCTCTTTCCTGACTTACCCATTTAACCTAGTAATTTTATGTATCTGCATAAACCCTCTGCTATTCTAATCTGGCAGCCATCCTTCAATATGCATCATATCTCAAGCTGGTTATGGTACCTCAGAATCTGATACACACGTAGGTCACATTTTTTATTTTTCATATTACGCAATGGAAAATTTTCCTCAGGTCTGTTTGATGTCTATAAACATGGAGGAGGAGGGTAAGGACAAAGCACCATTAACTATCATAGTATCCTATCCATTCGGCATTCACGAGCCTGGAGATGAACAGCACCATGACATGAGCACGGAGGTCCTTGCTCTGCTGCTGCTGAATTTTGCCAGTATGACTTTCATGAGGCTCCCCAGAAAGGCACCTAGAAGGAAGTAGTTAGTTAGAAGACATTAAGGGGGAAACATCAAGACTTTTAGACTTTTATTTAATATTATGACAGGCAGTGAAGAAACTGTGTTCAGCTTTCTACTTAGTAGCATTTCGTGACTAGCGATGGTCGTCCTCTAAGATACATTCTTCACAGGCAACCATATGTTTCTATATAAATGACCTGGCTGAAAAGGAAATAAATAAGAATAGGAATAAATATTACTGAGAACATAATTTGGGTAAAAAATAGTTATTGTCTATATTGTAAAATCTCACTGAAAAACATTAGCTTAAACAATGAACCCTTTTATTAATTTAACTTAGTGATAAATTATTTAATTAATTTATTTGTAGCCTTATGTTTTACTATTCTTTTTGACAAGTTTGTTTTATGATTTTCCCCCCATACCTTTTCATACTGTTTTCAAGGATACTTTTAAAAATTTAATCATAGGTACCTTATTGTTAATCATATTAAGTGATTGAATGAAATGTATTTCTAGAAGTTCTATTTATTATTATTTGCTTTTCTGATGACCCTTGAAATTTCAGTATCTTTTTCATAATGTGGTATTTTAGAAGTGGATTAGGATCACCCTGAATATGTCTCCATTTTCATAGCACAAAACGATTTCAGCTTAGTTATTGAAATTGTTCTGTAATTTTTCTTTAACCTCCTTTTAAACCTCCAAAATTACAAAGGAGAGATGTCAATGCCAACACAGAGAAAAACAGCCTACAGTAAATTGATAATATAGGGAACAGGAGATGTCTTTTAAAATATCATTAATGCCTTCAAAGACATGAGAGAAAATATCACATCCGTTAAAAATAAAAGCAAAATGCTATGAAAAAGGAACAGGATAAAGGGGCTCAGAAATTTAAAATATGATAAACGAGAAAATAACAAAGAAACAAGAAAAAGGAAAATAGTGGGACGATAGGAGAGAAAAGATAGATGTTTATAAAATCAGTTCAAGAGAGACAATACATGATCAGTGAGAGTATTGAGATGAGAGAACAAAGAAAACAGAACAAAAGCCAGGAGTGGGCAGATTAAAAGGGGCCCACCCAACAGGTAAGTACCTGTTGCACTGCTGTCATCCTGAGATGTTTCTTCACCCTTTTCCTGTGTGGATGCCCATGTTTCTCAAACCCTAGGCCTTTCTTTGCTTGTTTTAGTCCTTTCTTTTGTGGGGAGCACATCAGAGAAAATGAGTAAATGTTTTCAGTCTTTGTATTATTGAAAATAGACTTGTTCCACGCATACTTAACTGAAACTTTGGCTGGCTATAAAATTCAAGGTTGAAAATTAGTCTTTCTGAAGTCGTTGTGCAATTGTCTTCCAGAATCCAATGTTGCTGTTGAAAATCTCATGTCTTTTTTGTTTTGACTCCCACTCCAGTGAAGTGATCTCCACCATCACTAACTCCCCACTCTCAGCCCAGGGAACTTTTAGGGTCTTCTCTTTTACCACAGTGAGTCTTGTGACGATATCCCTCACTGTGGGTTGTGTTTTATTCACTTTTCTAGCTACTTGCTGGGTGGACCCTTTTAATCTGGACACTCATGGTCTTCAGTTCTCTCTTACTGAAGGAAGAAAGGAAAGATTCCATCAGGAAAGTCTTTAGGAAATAAATTTTAAAAAACTGGCATATTATTTGATTCATTTGCACACTTAGAAAAAAAAACTACTAAAAGAAATATGGCATAACTAATGGAGCTATTAGTCACTATTAAGGATGGTCATAGAGAAAGAGCAAATGAAAAAAAAAATAAAAACATGGGTCAATTAATAACTCCAAAGGAAAAAATGAGCAAGAGAAGACACATTTTCATAGTATACCTATTAGGTTTGTGTGAGCCATATTTACACAGTCATAATAATGTAAATACTCACTGTTGACATAGCCAGAGGTTCAGATGTGACTACATAGGGAGGATGGGGTGAGGGGAAATGGATGGGTGTGGATGAGTCTAAAAATGATAAATCAGAAAATAGCAATATAAGCTTCTTTTATTTAGAAAAATTGAAGTAAATACAGAAAATAAACCTAAAAGAGTTGATTGTGGTTGGCCCTGGGGAGTAGGATTGTGGGATTGGAGGGATGGAGCAAGACACTGCCGTCTTTCTATGTAGCCCTTTGGTGCTATGTGATATGTATATGTACACTTTGGCTAAAAAGGAATCTTATAAAAATAAAATGTTACTAAGAAAACCCCAGCTTTTATGTCTGACTAGCAAGTGTTCGATCTTCTTGCTGACTTCCGAATGGAACGTGGAAGCAGCTAAGGTTGGAGTTGAGAGTAGTTTAGACCTGTATGGAGACGTGAGGAGTAAGTAGCTATCAGTGCTGAGGCCGACATGGGTTTATGAGCCCACAGAACAGGCTCCTTCTTACTCGAGTTGGGATTTGTACTGGGTGAGGCCCTTTTGTCTGTCCTGTGGGCGCTAAGGCATTCATGCTGCTGACTTAGGTGCCCCGTCAAACTGTGACCAAACTAAAGCGAAGAATCACTGACCATGGAAAAAACAAAGGAAATGGGAAAATACTGCATAATTTGTGGTCTCCGAAATGATCCAGCATTAATGAAAGTTTGTTTTAAGTAGTAATTTATGTCAGCTTTGTGTAGTTCAGGTCAATTCAAGAAAAGGTAGATTCCTTCTGCCAGGAAGAAGGGGAGAAATGTATAAATTGTAAGTTTATATTACCATTGGAAATGGGAACACAGAAATCCATTATTTAGAGCCATGATTACTACCAAATTTATCCTGGCTGGCTAGGAGTTATGGCCCCGATTCAGGACACTCTTTTAGAAGACTTGGATTCCATTACCTTCAGCCTGTAGACAGTGGGGGCTTAGTAAGAGAGACTCATAATGCCAGCTTTTGAAGCTGTCATTTTTACTTTTTATAAGTAGTGACTGACCACTAGTCTCCATGTATAGCTCCTTTTAGGCTAAAGGAACACACTTCAGGACAGGGCCGTCACTCCTGGGGCCAGGACCAGACCAGATCTGAGCGAGGTCTGCAGTAATCTGATGACTTCTCAAAATCTACAGTCCTTTGACATGAAAATGCTTGATGTTTGTGGAGTTGGTATCTCTAAACTAAAATTTAAAAATAAATGCAGATTGCAAATGTTCTGCCATTCTAAAACTATTATAATGTATATTTAAATAAATGGTCCCAAAAAGAAAGGACTGATTTTTCATAAGGAAAAATGTTATCTAAAGATTATGATAGTCATTAGAAGTGAATCTTTCATATTAATTTGACTTGATATTCTTAGAAAAGCAAATCAATGAAAGTTGCTAAAAAGAACGCTATTTCATTTCCTTACCTCAGTTTACATTGCTATAAAAAGACAAGAGAAGTTGAGTATTCTCAATTTGTGTTGTGAGGTAGGATTTTAAGTTCCTCGGATGAAAATAATTTATCCACAGCAAGAATAACACACTTTTTACCCCCATGTTGTTCTTCAGGACCCACCTGGCTAACTTGGAATAGATGCTTCATGTGTAGTCTGTCCTCAAACTTATAGAGTAAAATGCCAAAGATTTATGGCAACAAAAATATTGGGGTGCTGATAAGGAAAAAAAAATGTGGGTTGTTTTGTTGTTGTTGTTTGCAAGGATGTATTTATGCTTTATGCTATGAAAGCACAGTCTTTCTGTCTCTCCATTTTATAGGTTCATTTTATGTGATAGGGATTTTTTTTTCCACTATCTTTTCATTGACCAGTTAGGTGCCAGACATTTTTAAGTAATTGAGTTCTGATTATTGCAATTTGAGAAGGTATTCTCTAGATGCTTACTAGAAAGCAATTAGAAAATTACCCATTGGCTATCTCTTAAAAACCCCAAATGTATATTCAGTTGTCCAAGCAACATTTACTAAGAGGCTATGTGCGAGGCCCTCTGTTTGGCTCTGGGGGATATGGTAGTGAGTAAGACAGAAGAGGTCACCTCGTCTCATGGAGGTAACAGGTGGTATGCAAGGAATCCATTTAAAATGGTGATTGGTAGTGTAAAGGTGACATGATAGAAGGTACCTGGAACAGGACTGCTACTTTAGATCAGTGATCAGGACATGCCTTTCTGAGGGGGTTACAATGGAGCTGAAACCCAAATGGTAAGAAGAACCCCCTGAGTTCAAGTTAAAGGAAGAGAAGATGACGTCCCAGTGGGGCCAAAGTCAGATGTTTGGATTTTATTCTAAGTTCGCTGAGGGGCCATTGGTGGGGTCGGGGGAAGGGAGACATGCAGGAGAGTGATGTAATTCGATTTACCTTTTAGAACGACAATTCTGGTTGTGGTGTGGAGAAGGGGGCGTGCTGAAAACAGGAAAAGCGAAAATGGTGGCTTGGGCTGGGGTGATGGTAATGGAGATGGCGCAAAGCAAAGGAACTCAGGTGAATTTGGAGGCATAACCATCAGAACTTACTCTTGCATTGGAAGGGTGGAGCAGGCAGGACAAAGGAGGGAAGGAACTAAAGTCTGAGAAAGTAGGTGGTTGAGTATATCATTTTCTAAGATGGAGAAAAGTACGGGATTGGCAGACACCGGAGATTAGAAATCAGGTAGGAGGATTTCACATAGGTAGTTGGATATAGGTTTTTGGAGCTCAGAAGAGAGGTAGGAGGTAGTAGAATAGCAGTAAACCTAGGTTTCAAGTCTAGTTTCAGTTTCCTTCTGTGTAACAGAATATTCTGTAAAAAAAAAAAAAGGGGGGAGGCCCTTAAGACAGTGCCATCCTAAATTCTGTGTGTGCTTTGTTATGTACTGACCACGCTCTCATCTTTCACTCTGAGATGCTTCAAATCTGCTCTCCCCAAATTAAATCATATGAATATGGTGTGTTTTTTTAAATATAAGTAAACTGATTAAGTTTATTCCTACATTGCAGGTCTGTTAGGCCATGTAAAACAGAAAACTAGATCAAATACAGTGATTACTTACAATTTTTAAGCCCAGTGGTTATACTCATCTAGGCTTATTTTTCTCTTTTCTTTTACCCTGCCAGCGTTTACCAATGCAACAGTTGCTCCTGGTTCACCTTCAATCAAGGAAGATGCCACAAGTTTACCAATGGAAGGAACAAGTCCATTATCGAAAAAGGAGGCATATGAAAGCAAAAAGAGCAAAATATAATTACTGAGTTAATTACATGATGGTTTTACAAATAGTAGCATATGTATCCTTTGTGCAGTTTGGCCCAGATGACCTCGCAGACATACCCGAAGCTTCTGCTCTTCAGCATTGCCAAGCACTGACGAAAATGACAATACAGTTGGTCCTTGCAAATGATAAAAGTTAAACCAATCCAAATAATGTCAGCTGGCGAATGACTTACAGTTAACTTATGGGCAACTCATAGCAGCAGAGAAATGATATTTTTTCACTTTGCATTTTCTTTTTTCAGGTGCAGTCAGTCACATTTATCCATCTAAAGTTTGGATTTATAATTGAGGTCTTTCAAAAATTACTGGCTTAAAAGGAGGAAAATGAGTTCCCCTTAAGGCGGAAATTGCCAGCACTTTAGATTCAGGGAGTGTTTATATACAATTGATTTTTTTTTAAATGCTTTCTCCCTAATAAATTATCATGTGTTATAACATGTCATGGAGTTATGCAGATATAATATTAGACAGTTCACTTTATAAATTCTCAGGATTGTTACAGTCCCCATCTATCTCAGCAGTCTATTATTACATGAAGTATGTTAACATTGCCAATCAGCCACATTTAACAGCAATAAAGAATTTACAAATGATATCTGAATTGTAGAGCCCTGTAAAGAATTCATTGCACAATTTATTTATTTGTCTTTTTGCCAAATATCCCACTGTGATCACTTCAGTCATATCCTGGACCATCTTGGTTTACACTGACCAAAATCAGAGTACCAAACTCCTGAAACTGGCTCTGCAAGAGTTCTCATGTAATTTGGTACTCTCTTTTAGTACTATCTTTTAGGTCTACTTTTAGTACCTCAGCTTTTTTCAACATCCAAGTGTTAAGAACTTTTCCTCTTTACATGCTGATCTATCACTGGCGAAGGAATTGTATTAAATGCTAAATAATGGTCAACATCCAGAGACTAAATCTCCATTGGGTCATGGAAAAATTATGCACAGAAACAAGGACAATAAAGCAATACCTTTCTGATGTGCATTACATTTGGTGTTTGTTGAATTACACTTGCATATTAGACTTCTCCTATTTCATAAAGGTTCTTTCCTTTCCACTCAAGATACGTTCTCCTAACTTACTGTATTTGAATGTGCAGAAGAAATACACTCTTTCCATGGACTGAATACTACAGTTACTGCAGAAGATGAAGGTGCTTGATATCCCAAGATTATAGAATACCACCTGCATAACCCCTGAGAGTACAGGTGTTCGTTTGATCACTTATTCATTCCTAAAATCTTTTACTGAGTTCCTGATATAAGCCAGTCATGGTGCTCAGAAGGCAAAAAGAAGCATAAAACAGGTGTTCATGTTCCAAGGTTTGTTTGGCATTAGGCATTACATGAAAAGGGGCTGATGTGCTCAGGCTTGCTGGAGGAATTCTGGATTGGACACTATTAAACAGGCTTGGTTTGATTTTGTCTAACCTCAGGACTTCAGGCTGTTCATGTGCTAATGAACACCATGAGGTTTTAGTGGAAATGGGCCTTTTGAAGAAGTGGCTCACAATCCTGGCATTCCACGTAACCTATATCACTCTGTAGTAATATTTTGGGTATTAAAAAATTATGTCAGTATTTTCATTGCTCTTTTGACCAACACCATAATATTTTATCTTCTTGGATCTGAATGACTATCTGGGGAAAAAATAAGGGAGGGAATTAACAGGTTTTATTACAGGTTTTATTTAAGTCCTACAGATAAAATGAAATAGCTTTTCCCTACGTAGTAGGAACTTCATGCAGTCTATTCTGTTTATTAGGAACTGATCTAAACCATTATTAGCCCATCTGTGGTCATATAGATATAGATATAGATATCTATATAGATATTTATATATCGATCTCAGACCAGTTAGACCTGAAAGTTTGAGGTAACTCAAATTATTTACTTGGCAAATCCTTGGAAACTTATTAGCTGATGGTTTTGTAACAGAATGGAGAGGGATCTTATGAAAGACCTTCTTAATCTGAAAAAAATAAAGCCATTATATCATTTCATGGAAGGTGGTATGCTACTGGTGGATGACTGAAGGTGTCTGACTTTAAATATGGAATGCACAAGAACTTCCAAGGCGAAGTCAATTTTTTGCGATACAATAGTTTTGTCAAAATTCCTTGGCTCTGGTGTTGACATGGAATTAAATCCAAGGACCTGATCCCCTGAGGATTTTTCCTATCTCTTGCAGTCACAATAAGCTTGAGCTGGAAATAAAAAAGAATGCTAAAGAAACATTATTAGCTTGATTTGTACGTTTCAAAGCCAGCAACTGTTTTTTCCTTTACTCACCCCTTTGGCAGGATAACACGTGATATCAGCCCTGTTTTAGTCGTGACTAGGTAGCTGTGTTGCTTATAGCACTGGGCCACTGGAAGAGATACATTCATTCTTGCAGTGAGCCTGGTCCAAGACTTAATTTGAAGATTGACCTTTTTGGTTTAATCATTTTGATTCTTCTTGCCATCTTTCTCCCTAAACACACTAAACTTCCGTTGAAGTGACTGAGGGCCGCAGAAGGGAGAAACAGCTGGGAGAAATCTGACGTGATGTTTTTCCCATTGGCTAATGTCATTATTATTTCCTTGATTAGTAGTGTCTGATTTGAAGGTTGGAAACCAGTTGGTTATATAACATCTTATGCATCCAGTTTCCCAAAACCACCAGCTTTTCCTCTTACTATAGTTTACACATTTTTACTAATCAAGAGATAAAATCTATAGCTGAACAAAATAGTGCACAGAAGGCATTGGGATTTAAAGGTTAATAGATAAGAAAATACCTACCCATGGGGCTGGCCAAGTGGTTCAGTTGGCCAAGAGCTTGCTCAAGAGTTCAAGCTCTGAGCAACAGGGTTGCTGGTTGGATTCCCTGCCCAAGCTGAGCTACCAACAGGTGGCAGGATGGCTTAGCTAAAAAAAAAAAAAAAAAAAAAAAAAAAAATGCCTACCCACTTAGCTAAGGAAACAAGCCTACTTTTCTTCATTTTTCTACTTTCAACTATGGTAAATGCATTTTCCGTTTTGAGGCTTGGGTCATTGGTATGTAAAATATATTTAGAATCACAGTAATTGTTACATTTTCTCTAATCTGTATTGAATCTTATAGTTGAATAACAAATACTGTTTTAAGTGGAACCAAATTCTTATATAATTAGATGGTATATTTACTTAGCAAGCCCTTTTTTAGAAAGGGGCAAATACCTCAAATTCCTTTATTTGGAATTTGTACTATAAACCCAACTACACAATATGGTAGCCAAAACGTGAATGATCATTAAGTGATTCCTTTTCCAAGATTCTTTACACTCCCTCCTCAAACACACTGTCCCACTGTTTTCTCTCAATTCAAAACAAAAAAAAAATTTGTGATTTTCATGGACTTACAATGAGGAAGCTGTCCTCACGAAAGCATCTGGTTTTCTTGGATCAAAACTAAACCGTGAACCTTAATCTGGAAAGTAAATTTGGGAAAGTTTGTATATAAAGCCATTTCATGCACCAAAGTTCAATATAAAAATAGTTACATCTTTCAAATTTTAAGTTCTCAAATATTTAGCAATAAAAACATATCAGCTTATTCCTACTTGAGAAAAGAAATTTTAACCATGAAAGATTCCTTTTAGTTTCATTTCCGTATAAAACACGACACATCTAATTTAAGGTTAGGAAAAAATGCCTACGTCTAGAAGCAGAACTTCAAATTCCAAGCCCCCAAACAGATTTCAGAGAAGTCTCCCTTGATTTTGATTAGTAACAAAGTAAACCAATCTGCTCTGCTCTGGTGAAACCAGCCGACCTTGAAGTTCTAACCTTATCTGCCTCTATCTTAGTCTCCCTCCAGCTCTCTCCACACCTGTACCCACATGCTACCTAAAGCCAAACCCAACACAGCTCACTCAGTGTTCTACCAGGTCAACCCCCACTGTTGACCTCTAAAGTCTAATAGTAATTCTACAACCCACAACAAAGTGGGAAGCTATCTGGGATTTGTAGCACCTGCATTTCTTTCAGGACCAGCCAGTAAGAAAAGGATTTAAATGTCACGTATCTTTGACTACTCTCATGTTTGAAACTTGAGGAATACTTTTGTAGCTGGGTGTCTCTTCTTCCATAACACAGCCTGACTCTGATGTGGTGCAAAGCCACGTGACAATTGTGGATGTGAACTTGCTGCCTTGCTCTGTAGGAATATACTGGATTTCTAAATAGAGCATCATGTTAGCTCCCTTTCAGGAGGATAGCTGAAACAATATGTAACTGGATGACCTCCGCCTTTCAAAATGTAGCATCTTAAGCCTTTGAACATATAAACAGGAACATGAAAAAATAAAAAAATGCCACTCTAGTCAAAATAGAGCCATACAACATGTATCACAATAGAATAATAATCCTAACAGTAACTTGCTATGTTGTAAGAAGCTGAAGCTCTAGAGTGAATGCCCTCTAAATGGCACATGCTGGACTTCCATGCCCGGACTGTCTTCTATTATCTCTCCATAGAGCCCCACAACTGGACACCCTCTCATTTTTTAGTCTTTCATAAAGCATTTTGACGGGCATTATTGAAATAAAAACAAAAGTTGCAATTTAGCCTTAAATATTGGAGCTCTGTGTCATCTTAGCTGTATACTTCACTGGAAATAAAAGATCAGAAAACTGGCTTGAAGAAATATTTTTTTAAGCAAAATTAGTGGATGTGAAAACTACCAACAGCTCAGATGTTATAATTTAAAAGTAAGAAAATATTCTGAGGGAAAGGAGGATAATATATGCTCATTAGTTAGTCACTAATGGACAGTGTCCTTTAAATTCTCATTTAGTATTTTCTTAAAATCATACTTTAAAAAAAAAGGGCAAGTCTGATTTTTATAGTATTAGGTTTTCCATTAAATTACAGTTTCCTTTTGGTTTTTCCTTAGACATTTTTCAATTTAGAGTCAGGTGTATTGTTGTGTCATTGAAGCCCACGAGCGTTCAAACAGCTTTTAAAAGCCCAAAAGTGTTGGCCAACAATGTGAAAACTTGTACCTGGAGGTAGTGCAGCTCTCTTTGTTCTTGAAATACTATATTTCAATTGGAAATAGTTCCTCCCTCCAAGAGTGTCTTTCATATCTTTCTCTAAGATCCACAGTCACTCGCTCAAGGATCTCAGGAAGCAAGTTTCTGTCCTTTGTCTGGGCCAGCCTCTGGACTGGAGTCATGCTCACTTGTCCTGTGCGTGCATTTTAAGACATCAGGATAATGGAGAGTTAGTGAGATGAATAAATGAAACACAAGTTTTCTCCTAAGGATGCGGGCTCGTCTGTTAACCACGTGGGAAAGGCTCCTCTTGGTAAGACAAGATTGTTTCTCTTCATCCTTTGCTGATTCACAGCTCTTTTTAAGAGCCGTATTTATATGTGCTTCATATACCAGGAGGACCTATTTAATCACCTTCTCTCCCTTAAAGCCAAAAGAACAATTCTGAAAATGTGTGTCACGTTGTACATAAGATTGAAAAATCTAAATTTCTAATATATCTCCTTTATAAGCTTCTTTTTTTTTCCTTTTCAGTTCTTGAAGCTAGCTATTATCAGATCATACTGCATAACGCTTATTCAGTAGTATCCCTAGGGTCGTGATCATGCTAGTTTAGATTTTGTTTGTCCATTGTTGCTGAGCACTTAGCTGGATAAGGAAATGAAGGATGGCAGGCGTTCTGTAAAATGATATGAACACAGAGAAAACTGAGTTGCCTTCAACAACACACATTTTAAACTGTTTACTTGAAAGAAAAAAATGGATTGCGGTAGCAGTCCATCCTTTATCTGAAGCAGAGTCCTGGAAAGCAGCGCTGTGAGATGCCCTGTAGAATTTGGTGTGTCCTGTAGAATAGGACCGTGAAGTCCTATTTCTGATGCAAGTTGCACCAAGCCATAAAGCGCTTTATGGACCGCTCGCTGACGTTTGGATCTGGATGCAAAATGGCCTCCTTTCAGATAGATTTCAGTCAGCGTGCTCTGTACTTGTCTGTCATGTTGGATTTTCATTGTATTTATGCTATCAGCCCACTGTGAGTGAAGATACAGGCTCGATTTATAGCTCAGCATTTTGAAAACTTCCCATCATACCGAACCTTATGCTGTCATTTACCAGAAATCAAGCAGCCATGGCAGGGAAGCCATCTAACATGGCAGCTTTGGGGACCTTGGGCGGTTAAAAGAAGTTTGGCGAAACCTAGGAATTTTTGCCTTTTTTTTTTTCTGAGCTGAATAAAATAGATGCATCAGTTCTAACGAGGCACTTCCTGCCCAGAGTCACTGGCAGAGCAGCCTCCTCCCAACAGCTGCAAGCTTGAGAGACCTCACGCTGTTGGCCAAGGTTCATTCTGTGCTTTGACCAAGACCACAGCCAATAAAGCCAATGTGTACCGTGGAAAGACTTTCCCAGTTTTTCCATTGGAGAAGTCTTTTGTGAGGTTAGTTTGTTCCAAATTAACGGTAGTGGTCATTGCTCATTTTTTTTGTTTAAATTTTAACTGCACGTAAACTTACTGATTAGATTCTATTGAGAACAATAGTTTTCTATAAG